CCGCAGTCTGTCTGGCTGCAGCAAAATAACCGGGGGGTGACGAATAACTTTGTATGTTGATACAGCAGGAGTAGGAGCCGTTTATTGCAGGACAGGAGCAGTATTTATACATTCCACACAGCTTATCTTATTAGCATAAACTAGATACATCAGTCAACCAATAAGGAATCTCCACACTTAATAGCTCGCTTTTGTTACTTCTCAAACCACTCCCTCTGGCATTTTGCCAGGCACCATTCAGACTTGTTTACGAACTCTAACATTCCCCTGGCAAAATGCCAGGTGTTATTTTTGACTTGTTTACAGACTCTAACATTTCCCCCTTTTGTTTAATTTAAATAACGACCATAGTGGTTTTTACAGAAACACCATAAATAACCTGCTACAAACAGAAAGGGAGGATACAAAATGCCGCAATACCAAGCCACTTGATGGCTCCATGCAAGAAGCCCTTGGAAAAATTATACCAGCAATGACACTGTTAGCAAAGATACCGAGTTACAATTTGTTATAGATTACAGTTTGTTGTCTCAGTCCAGGTAAAGTAGTGTCTCAATAGATTAACTCACAGTCCAGGTAAATCACAGTCCAGGTAAGTTCTGCAGGCAGCTAGCTTAAATCACAGTCCAGGTAAGTTCTGCAGGCAGCTAGCTTAAATCACAGTCCAGGTAAGTTCTGCAGGCAGCTAGCTTAAGTTGTAGCAGCAGAAACAGCAATAGCTCCGAAGTCTCCTCCAGTTTTCAGCAACACTGGAAATTCTTCCACCTTGGTCTTTACCGGCACTGGGACGAAGGCAGGAACTCCGGATGGCTAAAGAAAATCCTGTAGCATTCAACTAAGAAAACAGCCTTCTGAACAATTTAGTACATTATCTCAAGGTTTTTTACATTTGAAATAAGCATTAATAGTGTTATTACTCATTAGCTTCCAGGTGTGGGAGAACCATTGTAGCTTAGTTATTGGCATTGAAAATGACCAAACATCAGGGACGCTGGTAGCGTCTTCTGCCAGCTGTGGCATCCTGGGCAGCCCCAAATGGCCCTGGGGAGTGTCCCGGACTCAAACTGCTACTGGGCACAGGGAGCAAGAGCCTGCGAGACTGTGCCTCCAGGTCAGGTCTAGATTTGGGCTCGTGGCAGTGGAAGAGCCAGCTCCCCGGCCAGGAGGCAGGGAAGGGCCAGTCGTCGCCGCCTCTTGGAAAATCCTTGTTGCGCTGTGACCGGCTTGCACACTCGGCAGCCGCCTCTCCACTTCACGCACCCTCAGGTAACAAAAAGTATTTAGTAATAGCCTTTTGCTGCAACTTTTTTTCTGATAATCCTTCTTCTGAACTTTCTTTTTCTTTCTGACTAGAGTTCTTGGGCTTTTATCAACACATGCCCTAACTATTCTTGGTTCCACTGGGGTGCCTTCTTCCCTTAGTAATTTACTTCTCACCCCTTCCATATTTTCATCACAAAGACAATACAATACACTGAGACAAAACAAGACACAAACATACTGTATCAATCTTCTCCATTTTCTCGAAATGGCCATTTTTCCTCTCGCCCTATCTGCCTAGGGACGAGCAGATTGCTCCCGTCCTATCTTTGGACGGGCAGCTTTTTTCGTCACTTACCCCCAAGTGTCCCGGGGCTCCCCGTAACGGGCCACCATCTGCCGCAGCGTGGCTGGCTGGGCAAAATAAGCGGAGGGTGACGAATAACTTGTGAACGTTGATACAGCAGGAGAGGGAGCCATTTATTGCAGGACAGGAGCAGTATTTATACATTCCACACAGCTTATCTTATTAGCATAAACTAGATACATCAGTCAACCAATAAGGAATCTCCACACTTAATAGCTCGCTTTTGTTACTTCTCAAACCACTCCCTCTGGCATTTTGCCAGGCACCATTCAGACTTGTTTACGAACTCTAACATTCCCCTGGCAAAATGCCAGGTGTTATTTTTGACTTGTTTACAGACTCTAACAGTTATGTGAGCCCAGATTCCTGTGAATAGATGCATGGATTAAGAAAATGTGATATATATACACAATGGTTGTGCCCCTTAGTTCAATCCCTGGTACCCCCAAAAAAAGATGGGTAGATAAAATTGCATGTAAATAAATAAGCCATAGGGTGATTTCAGCCATAAAGAAGAATAAAATTATGGCATTTGCTGGTAAGGATGGAAATGGAAAACTTCATGCTAAATGAAATAAGTCAGACCCAAAAGTCAAGGGTCAAAATTATCTATTATGTGGAAGCTAGAGCAAAATAAGGAAAAAAGGAGGGGTGTATCTGATATCAGGAAGATAGATCAGTGAGTAGGAGGAGGAGATTGCAAGGGAGGGAGGAGGGATGAGAAAGGAGAGGAAATGCAGAATGAATTTAACAAAATCACATTATATGCATATGTAAGATGCCATAGTGAGTTATACTTTTATGTATAAGTAGAAAGAACCAAAAAATGAGCACAAGGAAGATCATCAGAGTAGAGAAAGGAGAACAGGATGAGGAGAGGATGAGAGGGGATCGAAATGAAATTCCATGCGTGTATAATTTTGTCAAAATGAATCCACCTACTATGGGTTAGAGAATAATCATTGCTCTAATAAAAATATGTACAAATAATGCTATAAATGCAATAAAGTAATATGTATTTTGATATATAAATTCTGGGTGTGACTCCACTGAGAGTTATAATGCAGTAAGCAGATCCTTATACCTGTACAAAGATTTACTGTGAATGTAGTTGCTATAAATGTGTACTGATAAGGTAGATTGTTGGTGGCTTAGATACCAGCTGCATTGGTGATATCTTGTGTTTTATTTTTTCAAATAATGAATGACATTTTCCTTGAAGAATGAACAACTCTTTGTAAAATTCTCAAACAAGATAGTCTTCTTTTAAATTACATTTTCTTGCCAGCAACTCAGGAGACTGAGGCAGGAAGATTGCAAGTTCCAGATCAGCTTCAGCTACTCAACAAGAACCTGGGTTCAATCCCCAGTAACACACACACACACACACACACACACACACACATGCGCGCGCGCATTCCTGGAAGATGCAGTGCATCTTAAAACTGTGGAAGGATACTTCTGACGGTTTCTTCACTTCCTGAGCTGGACATTCTGAAGAGCATGGGCTGTGCAAGAGGGAGACTCATTGGAGGGAGAGAGTCAGTGGGAGCTTAGAAAATGACGCCAGCCCAGGAAAAAAAATGTGATAACAGGTTCTTCCTTCAAAGGAGCAGGGATTTCAGTGGGAGAAAAGAGGAACAACTTAGTATAGAGGGTAATAAGGACTTTATCTGTCCATTCTCCAGGCCTTGAGGAATGTGGGGGGGAAAAACAGCCTCTACTTGAGATAGTTTCAAGGGGGAATAATGTCTCCAAGGAGCAATTGTCAGATTGTGATATTTGGAAATGCTTCATAAAAGATGGAGTATAATGTCATTAAGTGCGAAGAAACTCTTTTTGGGTTAGAGAATAATCATTGAAAGTACAAATTAGGAACAGTTACCGAATCAGGGATGGCTTTCTATTTTGAAATAAGGCTTATTAAATGACAGAGAAATAACATGAATTAGGATGACTTGGAGCCAGGCCTCATGTTAGTCTGGATACCTTTAGGTGGGAGATGAACTGTAATCTTGTAGCAACCTAGTTTATTAGGAGCATAAGGGGGAGATTATATTGGAAATTTTAAAGTGAAGGTTACCAGATGTTGAAGCTTAAGAAGGATAACTTGATATATCTTGTTTTGAAAGTAGTAGATTTGTAGCCATTATCAGACAGAACATAGTAGAATGAAATAATTCAGTTTGTAACAAATTGGGTGTGAAGTATCTGTCGCCACACACAATTGAGTTGCTTTTTAGCATAATAACAGCTATTACGTTTTATATTTCTGCTATTAGGTGCTGCAGAATTACTTTATTTAAAGTGTTTCATTTCTTCCTCTTTTTTTTTTTTTTCCAACCAGGAATTGAACCCAGGGGCCCTTAACCACTGAGCTACATTTATAGCCCTTTCTTTATTTTTTTATTTTGAGACAGGGTCTTGATAAGTTACTTGGGGCCTCACCAACTTTCTGAGGCTGGCTTTGAGTTTGTGATCCTCCTGCTTCAGCTTCCCAGGCCACTGGATTATATACATTGTCACCACACCCAGCTTCATTGCCTTCTTATAACAATCCAATTAGCAATTATTATCATCTTGATTTTATAGTTGAGGAAGCTCAAAGAAGTTTTCAACTTGCTTGGGATTAAATTCAGTCTTTAACACTTCTTAAATACTCTGTTTTACTACAGCTTGTCTACACGTGGATTTTTGTTTTGTGTATTTGAATTTCTTGTACTTCTTGAATCTGAGAATTCATGTCTTTGAGCAGTTACGGAAAATTTCATAACTATTGTCTTCTCAAATATTACTTCTTAAATAATTTCTTTATTCTGCATTTTGGCTGGATAATTCTTAGACTATTTCTTCTCTGTGACTACTTACCTCTCGTATTTTAAACTGTTTTTTTATACTGTTCTGGGTAATTTCTCTAGTGCTGTCTTCTAGCTCACTAATCTTCTCTTTAGCTGTGTCTGATCTACTATTTGACCTGTTCTGTCAGTTTTCAATTTCAGTGATTCATTTCTTTATGATCTATATGATTTTTTTAAAAACTGCCACCTTCTTTACCCCCTCCCCCATAAAAATCCACCATGTGAGCTCATCTTTGTTAATTTGTCTCTGTATTCTTCAGGATTATAAATACAGAGGGCAGAGACCTTCAGTTATTCATAATGACCTCTTTCATAATAAATACTTTAATTGCATTGTTCTTATACATGGTTTGTTTTTTTTTTTTCTTTTTTTCTTTTTTTTTTTTTTAAGCATGCTTAAAAACACATTCCTTCCAGGGGTGAAGTTCAGTGGTAAGAACACTAAGTGCAAGACCCTGGGTTCCGTTGCCAAGATTGAAAGAAAAAAATATTCTAACATATCTTGACTCCTGAAACCAATCCTGAATATAAATTCTGTTTTTTGGCTAGGGAGATCTTGTGCGAAAGCTGAAAGAAGATAAAGCACCCCAAGTGGATGTAGACAAAGCAGTGGCTGAGCTTAAAGCCCGTAAGAGGGTATTGGAAGCAAAGGTGAGTCTTGGGGTGTTAAAATAGGAACATAAGTAGGTATAAGAGTGTTGATCTTTATGTAATCTCTTTGGGTGGGAGAGACCTAGAAAAGTTTCTGAATAAGTGTCACTTGATTTATCTGTTTTATCCAGAATGCCTTTTCCTCCACTACCTTGCAAACTCCTTATCCTTTCAAAGTGTAACTCAAAAGCATCATCTTTTCTACAAAGCCCTCCTGAGCCCTGATTCCCCCCACCTGAACCTGCCTCCCAGACCCTACACTCAATATGCTTCCTGAATTTCCTGAAAAGCATTGTGCTCTTTTTAAATGAAATTTCCTATGTCTAAAAATAATGTTTTTGATCCATCTTGTACCCACCTCAACAGTAAACCTCCCATAGCGAAACTTAGTAGTTTTAAGTTTTTAAGTCTCCAGTTTACAGATCCACTTAAATGTCAGGTATTGCTAATATTGCTTGTCATTATCTACATCTAATCTTAGTTTTATAATCTTGAAAATGATCATGTATGGGCTGGGGATGTGGCTCAAGCGGTAGCGCGCTTGCCTGGCATGCGTGCGGCCCGGGTTCGATCCTCAGCACCACATACAAACAAAGATGTTGTGTCCACCGAAAACTAAAAAAAAATAAATATTAAAAAAAATTCTCTCTCTCTCTCTCTCTGTCTGTCTCTCACTCTCTCTTTAAAAAAAGAAAATGATCATGTATGTTCCTAGATAATTAAGTAAAGGTATCTTTTCTGTTACTAAAAGGGTGGGAGGAAATAAGGCTTCCATTTTTTTTTAACTTATCAAAATGTTATCTGTTTGATAAATTTCATATTAAATTTTACAGAGGAGTAAACTAAATTCAGATTTATAGATTCAAATTACCATTCATTTGTACAATCACACACTTAATTTTTTTTTTTCCTTTTACAGGAGCTGGCATTACAACCCAAAGATGACATTATTGACAGGTCAAAAATGGAAGATACCTTGAAGAGAAGGTTTTTCTATGATCAAGCTTTTGCTATTTATGGAGGTAGGGGATTAATAAAAGAACACTTTTGTGGTTAATGGCTTTAAGCTAAGCTAGCCAGTTGGCCCTTTACTGCTCCCAAGTCTCTACCACATTTTAAGAAGAGTGTATAAATGCACTAATACGTAGATATATCAAATGCTTAATACGTAGGTACCAACAATCTGTATATACTACAAGAATAAAATAGTCTTCAAGAATAAATAGGACAGAAAGAATAAACAAGAGTCATTACACCAAATGGCAACTCTGAACAAACAGAAGTAAAAATACCTACGAGCCATGTACTTGATCTGGTAGTGCTGTCTAGCTGTAAGGTGCTTCTCCATGCAAGGGCACTGGATTCTATTCTGTTCTATTCTATTCTATTCTGTGTTTGAGTGTATGTGTGTGTGAGGATATGTGTAAATGAATGTGTGTTTATGTATGAGTGTGAGTGTAGATGTGTGAGTGTGTTTGCGTGAGTTTGTACTTGTGTGTGTCCGAGCCTATGTGTGAGAATGTTAATATTTTTGTATATGAGGGCAAATGTGTATGTGTGTAGGGGTATGGATGTATATTTTGTGAGTATATATATATATGAGTGTATGTATGCGTGTGTATGTGTGAGTGTGTCTGGGTGTATGTGAGTGTATTTGTGCAAGTGTATTCGTGTGGGCATGTGAGTGGGTGTGAGTTGTGTGTTCCTGTGAGTGTGAATGTGTGTATAACTTTGCATGTGTTAATGTGTGTGAGCATGTGTGTGTTCTTTGTGTACATGCCTATATATGTGTGTGAATGTAAGAGCATGTAAGTTGTAAGCACGTCTGTGCAAGTATGCAATTGTTTAATAAGTGTGTATGAGTGTAAGTGTGCAAGCATGTTAGTGTGTATTTAAGTATGCAGTTTTGCAAGTGTGTGGGTGTAAGTGTATAAGTACAAATGTGTGAATGTAAACATGTATGCATGTAAGCATGTGAGTGAAAGCATTTATGTGTATGAACACATGTATGCAAGTGTGCGTGCTTGCCAATGTGCAACCATGGAAGTGTGTGTGAGCATACAAGTGTGTAAAAATGTAAGTGTATGTGTGTTCAAGCATGTTGGTGGCTTAGATACCAGCAACAATTACTATGACAGAAAACTATAAACTGTTTTTTGGTCTGCTTTCTGTATATTCTATTGCTTTCAATTTTGAACTAATCCTACTTGAAATTATAAATGTAAAAAATTGTAAATGAACTAAGAAATTTTTAAATTTTACTTCTGTCAGCTGGCTGGAAGGAAGACTTTAAGTATTGAGAGATTTGAACTGTTGACTTTAAAACTTTTTCATGGGGTATATGTGAAGTCTTATAGGTAGTAGTTTCTCATGTTTCCTTGTTTTTATTTGTTCTGAATAACATCTTGTATTTTACAGGTGTTAGTGGTTTGTATGACTTTGGTCCAGTTGGGTGTGCTTTGAAAAACAATATTATCCAGACCTGGAGACAACACTTTATCCAAGAGGAGCAGATTCTGGAGATTGACTGCACCATGCTCACCCCTGAGCCAGTTTTAAAGTAAGATTCTACTTTGAAGGGGGAAGTTTTTTAACATAAATATTTAAGTAACTTTCTCATTACAAAAACCACCCATGTTCATGTAGAAAATTTGTAAAATACTGAAACAAAGAATATGCTTACCGCTCCGGTAACCATGTTAATTATAACATCATTAGGTTTATCCTTTCACTTTTCTTTCTGTACATTCCTATGTATTTGAGTGTTAGCAGCACATTGGCTTTATCTTATAATGTAAGTGAACATTACTCATGTCACTAAATACTGGTCTGAAGTATTTTTAATGCAGCAGAGTGTTCCGTTTTTATGGATGAGCCATAATTTAGTGCCATATTGTCGGCATGTAAGGTGTTTGTGAATTTTCATGGCATTGAACATACTGATAGATAGATTTTTATGTCTGTCCTTGGTTATTTCCTTAGTGTAATTTCTTAGGAGTTCTGAGAAAAGGTTTGTATACATTTTCAATAAAATATAGTTTATATTAAAGTTTCAGTGCAGTCCTAACAAAATTATTGAAAGGGCAGGATTTCAGTTACTGTGAAAGAGAAATTTTTACCACTTTGTATCATTGCTATTCATTTAATGTTACATGGCAAAGAGGTAATTTTTTATTATCAAAATCTTTTAAGTTCTTTTAATTTCAGCCAATTATGGTAAGAGGAATACCTGATGATAGATCTTTAGATCATAATTGTTGGGAGTGTAGCTCAGTGGTGGAATGTTTGCCTAGTATGTCTTTTAACTACTTGTTCCACTAATAGGAACTGGGTAGTGATAATACCAGTGTCAGCACAGTTTTCAGTGGCAGAAAACTTACCTTAAGATTGTTCTATGCTATGCTATCATTAAGTAACTCTTGGTTAGTAAAACTTCGAATTGTTTTGGCCTTTGCTTAGATCACTAATAATAATGGCATATTATGTACTAATTGATCTTGAAACATAATATAGACTTTCTGGCAGTTTGTGCAAAAGTATGACCTAGTTAATATCTTTTTTCATAAGGGAAGGAAGAATTTGGGAGAGGATGAGAATAGATTTGAGGCAGAGTTTCTGTGACATACATTACTATTTCTCCTGGATACATTACTATCACTGATATGGGAGCTTCCAACTTTGAGATACACAAGTATGGGTAAACGTATTGTAGGGGTATTGTCCTTTGTTTTCAGTGCTGAGAATTGAATCCAGGTCCTGGTGCATGCTAGACTAGTGCTCTACCACTGAGCTATATACCCTCCATAACATTACATTTTTTGGGGGGGGGGAATGGTCAACAGGGACTAAACTCAGGGTCTTGCATATGATAAACACTCTACCACTTATGGGTGGTAGTCTTATATTGTTATTCTATTTATGTGTATTAATTTGTATGAAAATGACAAATTGGCTTGGCATTTGTTCCTTTAGGACCTCTGGCCATGTAGACAAATTTGCAGACTTCATGGTGAAAGATGTAAAGAACGGAGAATGTTTTCGGGCTGACCATCTGTTAAAAGGTCTGGTTTTTTTTTTTTTTTTATCTCTGTCAAACAGTACTAGTGTTCAAGATAAAGGGTTTAGGTTAAACTATTTTTCTCAAAAATTTTTCCATCAAATTTTTTTATTGGGGCATAAAAACTTAAAAAAGAGTAAAAGGAACAGATCTTAAGTATACAGAGCAAGTTTTAAAAAATTGTATGCAGATAATAGTTTTTCTAATTAGTAAATGAATCTAGATAATAGCTTGACTGTCCCCATAAAAACAGCTATAAGATTCATTTAAATTAAGAACATTATTCTTATATTTGTTTTTTAATTATTCAGCATTGAAACTCAAAATGCATTGTCCCTTTTACCCATTGATTGAAGTTCACATGTCAACACCTCTCTTACAGCTCATTTACAGAAATTGATGTCTGATAAAAAGTGTTCTGCTGAGAAGAAATCAGAGATGGAAAGTGTCTTGGCCCAGGTGAGAACTTTAGAGATGCTATCAGAAATACCTGGCTAGAAGCTGTCTTTCCTTCCGCATGTGATAACTATTGAATTCTACATTGTGCAAACCGTGGACACAGTCGTGAAGAAGCAGAATTTAACTCTGTCCCTAATAACATCTAGGTTTTTGTTTTCTTATCTTTTTGGCTTAAGCCTTTGTTTCAAGCAACACTGACAAGTCAGTGTAAGTAGACATTTAGTTTGTGTCTTCTCTAAAACATGTTTTTGGATTTAAAAGCTAAAAACCAGAAGAGTTACTGGTGATGAATAGTGTTCCGTGTTGGTGTTGCGATTTTGGGGCAGATAACTTCATGAGCACTCCCTTGTCAGCCACCTGATCTGCTTCAGGTTGGTGTCCCTGACTCTGTGCCATTCCTAGAACCTGATGAACAAGACTCCTGCTTTTCTGCCCTTTCCCCAGTTTGCCTGTGGACTTAAAGTATTATAATTATTTAATTTGATGAATTTTAGGGGTGGCAGAAAGACATAGAGATAATTTATTCTGACCTTTTACCAAGTGTAAGAGTTCATTCTATATCAGAAGTGGTCCCTAATCCTTTTTTTGGGTCACAGACCACTTTAAGAATATGATAAGGAAGCTGTTAGTGTATCTCAGTGATAGAGTGCTTGCTTAACATGCCCAAGACCCTGGGTTCAATCCCCAACACTAAAGGTAAAAACAAGTTTAAGGATAGGATGAAAACGGCATCATCATCTTCCTAGGAAGATACGTATAGCTGTTTGTATATGCTGCTCTTTATATCCTCCTCTTTTAGCTGTTCCACTTAAGCGAAGTATGTTGGTCCAAAACCATGTTTGATCATGTGGCTCACTTTTTAAATTTATTTGCTTCATTGGATGAAAAATACACAGCATTTCATTTATATCTATTTTCTTTACATTAATGTATCTGAAGCTAAATCTAGGATGTCCTTACATTTTGCCTTTTACTCTTGGAAGTTACTGGATAACGTTTCTACTATTGCCTTATTTTATTTTATTTATTTTTTTAAACATCCTGAGATATCTAGTTTTCCTACATAGAGAAATTCTCTTTAAATTGAAAACTTTCTTAATCTGGCTGATGAATCATCTGCCAATTTATTTCAGTTCTTGTGAAGTGTGTTTTATCCCTTGCTTGAAGCTCATTGCTCTAGTATTATTACTCATTATTTAGAAAATAATTTCTTATATTTTGATGCTGTTATGGTTACACATTCATTTTATTTACTTCTTTTCCAAAGGCATGGCCTCTGTTAGAAGAAAGGAAATATGCCTCACATTATTCCCAAGTTCTTCTATTTTCCATTCTGAATTTCAGAGTTGGATTTTTTGTGTATATGTCTTTGAGGGTCTTTGATCTTAGTTTCCTTAGTTTCCAAGTAAATTGTCAAAATAGAGAGACAGTTGATTTGATAAGTAATAGTTTGAACATTGAGTTTCTGTTTCCTGGTCTAGGAGAGCAGTCTGTCTCTTTTATGATTTGCTGTGGGTACATTTGTACACAGCTGTATAATACTCCATGAAAAACAATGGACCTATGGAAAATGGTATAGTACTTAAAAGTGTCCTCAGTAGCTCACTGTTGCTGAGCATAGAATATTGTTTGCTGCATTTATTCATGCCTGATACTCCTTTTCAGCCCTATGAAGCTTGTTTAAAGGCACTGTGTCTTTCTCTGTGATAGGAAAAGCTCTTCTTCTGTTATGTGTGTAGAACAGCATAGAATTAATTCTTGTTTATTTTTCTTTTCTTTCTTTTTTTTTTTGGCAGTACTGGAGTTTGGACCCAGGGATGCTCTACCACCAAGCCACATCCCTAGCCACTTTTTAAAAACTTTTTGTGACAGTATCTCATTAAGTTTTGGAGGCTGTCCTCTAACTTGTGATCCTCCCGTTTCAGCTTCCCATGTTGTTGGAATCACAGGTCTATGCCACTGCACCTGGTTCTGTTTATTTTTCCTAATACACCTCTGAATGTTCTAGTTAGTGCTTTTTTTAAAAAAAAAAAAAAAAAACAACAACAACAACATTGATGGACCTTTATTTTATTTATTTATTTATATATGGTACTGAGATTCAAACCCAGTGCCTCACACATACTAGGCAAGTGCTCTACTACTAAGCCACAACTCCAGTCCTAGATAAGTGTTTTTGCCTTAGTAAATACTAATTATTTAAATATCATCAAATATGAATTATTGTTCACATTTTCCTGGCTGCTTGCATTATTATAGTGATGTTAAACATATTTATCAGTTTCTGTAATAGAGGCTTGACCAGGTTTTTTTTTGTTTTGTTTTTGTTTTTTTTTTTTTTTTTAATTTTTTATTGTTGGCTGTTCAAAACATCACATAGTTCTTGATATATCATATTTCACAATTTGATTCAAGTGGGTTATGAGCTCCCATTTTTACCCCATATACAGATTGCAGAATCACATCAGTTACACATCCATTGATTTACATATTGCCATACTAGTGTCTGTTGTATTCTGCTGCCTTTCCTATCCTCTACTATCCCCCCTCCCCTCCCCTCCCCTCCCCTCCCCTCTTCTCTCTCTGCTCCCTCTACTGACATTCGTTTGTCCCCCTTATATTATTTTTCCCCTTCCCCTCACTTCCTCTTGTATGTACTTTTGTATAACTCTGAGGGTCTCCTTCCATTTCCATGCATTTTCCCTTCTCTCTCCCTTTCCCTCCCACCTCTCATCCCTGTTTAATGTTAATCTTCTTCTCATGCTCTTCGACCCTACTCTGTTCTTAGTTACTCTCCTTATATCAAAGAAGACATTTGGCATTTGTTTTTTAGGGATTGGCTAGCTTCACTTAGCATAATCTGCTCTAATGCCATCCATTTCCCTGTAAATTCTATGATTTTGTCATTTTTTAATGCAGAGTAATACTCCATTGTGTATAAATGCCACATTTTTTTTATCCATTCATCCATTGAAGGGCATCTAGGTTGGTTCCACAGTCTAGCTATTGTGAATTGTGCTGCTATGAACATCGATGTAGCAGTGTCCCTGTAGCATGCTCTTTTTAGGTCCTTAGGGAATAGACCGAGAAGGGGAATAGCTGGGTCAAATGGTGGCTCCATTCCCAGCTTTCCAAGAAATCTCCATACTGCTTTCCAAATTGGCTGCACCAATTTGCAGTCCCACCAGCAATGTACAAGTGTACCCTTTTCCCCACATCCTCGCCAGCACTTGTTGTTGTTTGACTTCATAATGGCTGCCAATCTAACTGGAGTGAGATGGTATCTTAGGGTGGTTTTGATTTGCATTTCTCTGACTGCTAGAGATGGTGAGCATTTTTTCATGTACTTGTTGATTGATTGTATGTCCTCCTCTGAGAAGTATCTGTTCAGGTCCTTGGCCCATTTGTTGATTGGGTTGTTTGTTCTCTTATTGTCTAATTTTTTGAGTTCTTTGTATACTCTGGATATTAGGGCTCTATCTGAAGTGTGAGGAGTAAAGATTTGTTCCCAGGATGTAGGCTCTCTATTTACCTCTCTTATTGTATCTTTTGCTGAGAAAAAACTTTTTAGTTTAAGTAAGTCCCATTTGTTGATTCTAGTTATTAACTTTTGTGCTATGGGTGTCCTATTGAGGAATTTGGAGCCCGACCCCACAGTATGTAGATCGTAGCCAACTTTTTCTTCTGTCAGACGGCGTGTCTCTGATTTGATATCAAGCTCCTTGATCCATTTTGAATTAACTTTTGTGCATGGCGAGAGAAAGGGATTCAGTTTCATTTTGTTGCATATGGATTTCCAGTTTTCCCAGCACCATTTGTTGAAGATGCTATCCTTCCTCCATTGCATGCATTTAGCCCCTTTATCAAATATAAGGTAGTTGTAGTTTTGTGGATTGGTTTCTGTGTCCTCTATTCTGTACCATTGGTCCACCCGCCTGTTTTGGTACCAGTACCATGCTGTTTTTGTTACTATTGCTCTGTGGTATAGTTTGAAGTCTGGTATCGCTATACCGCCTGATTCACACTTCCTGCTTAGCATTGTTTTTGCTATTCTGGGTCTTTTGTTTTTCCATATGAATTTCATGATTGCTTTCTCTATTTGTACAAGAAATGCCATTGGGATTTTGATTGGCATTGCATTAAACCTATAGAGAACTTTTGGTAATATCGCCATTTTGATGATGTTAGTTCTGCCTATCCATGAACAGGGTATATTTTTCCATCTTCTAAGATCTTCTTCTATTTCTCTCTTTAGGGTTCTGCAGTTTTCATTGTATAAGTCTTTCACCTCTTTTGTTAGGTTGATTCCCAAGTATTTTATTTTTTCTGAAGATATTGTGAATGGAGTGGTTGTCCTCATTTCCATTTCAGAGGGTTTGTCGCTGATATACAGGAATGCCTTTGATTTATGCGTGTTGATTTTATATCCTGCCACTTTGCTGAATTCATTTATTAGCTCTAATAGTTTCTTTGTAGACCCTTTTGGGTCTGCTAGGTATAGAATCATGTCATCTGCAAATAGTGATAATTTAAGTTCTTCTTTTCCTATTTTGATGCCTTTAATTTCTTTCGTCTGTCTAATTGCTCTGGCCAGTGTTTCGAGAACTATGTTGAACAGAAGTGGTGAGAGAGGGCATCCCTGTCTTGTTCCAGATTTTAGAGGGAATGCCTTCAATTTTTCTCCATTCAGAATGATGCTAGCCTGAGGCTTAGCATAGATTGCTTTTACAATATTGAGGTATGTTCCTGTTATCCCTAGTTTTTCTAGAGTTTTGAACATAAAGGGATGCTGTACTTTGTCGAATGCTTTTTCCGCATCTATCGAGATGATCATATGATTCTTATTTTTAAGTCTATTGATGTGGTGAATAACATTTATTGATTTCCGTATATTGAACCAGCCTTGCATCCCAGGGATGAATCCTACTTGATCATGGTGCACAATTTTTTTGATAAGTTTTTGTATCCGAGTGGCCAGAATTTTATTGAGGATTTTTGCATCTAGGTTCATTAGAGATATTGGTCTGTAGTTTTCTTTCTTTGAAGTGTCTTTGTCTGGTTTAGGTATCAGGGTGATGT